CTGCAGCCTCACAGGACAATCAGGGGAGAATGAAAACTCCTCCTACAAGCTTTAACCACTGGACACGGATAGAAGTCACAAGATTGCTCTAACTGCTGATGAGAAAAGGTATTTATCAGCATATATTTACTAAAATAATTGCATTTACATGTTCTGTGTACTGTGGGAGACCAGATATGGTGAATGCAGGGTTCTGGGTTTAGTAATACTTTAACAAAATTATCAACAGTTATTTGTATGGAATTAATCTCTCTTGCATTATTCAAGTTCCTTGTGCCATTTGAATGGCTATTGAGATATCCATTCAAGTTGTTTGCACATATTTGCCCAATGGTGTTGTTAATTCAAATATTTTCAGAAACAATTGAGATGTGAGAATGTTTCCGTATTTGAGCAAGGATTCTGCATAAGCTTTTGCTCTAACACGCACCTCAAGTTTCAATGACATGCTGTCTTCAATTCTGCTCAAAGTGTACAGTACAGTAAGAAAAAGCAGAATCAGGATTTGAAAATTCCCCAAACACTTTTCTTAAAGCAGCATCTTTTGACCACCAGCGTGTTTCGCCAATTACTGAAATTCTTTGATGGTGAGGGTCCTAGCTAATGTGTTCCCTGGTATTCATGCGCTAATAAGAATCACAAATAAACACATCAATGGCATTCAACAAACTGAACAGTGATGCACTTTCAACTACCACCTTTATTGCATCAGCAAGTACTAAATTCAGAATGTGTGCATAGCACCACATGTGAACTTGCCCTGGTGATTCAGTTGACAGCCTCGAAGAGAAACCATTGTATTGGCCTTGCATATTTTCTGCTCCATCCATTAAATTGCCAATACAATTTGTCATTTTACGTTTGCATGATTTTAAAACTTCCATTAGCAATTTAAATAGGCTTTGTCCCATTGAATATTCACATTCAACAACTGCAAGAAGCTTTTCATTGATGTAATCAGTCACATAGTGTACAATTATAGAGCATTGATCTTTGGAAGTGATGTTGCATCAATCTGATTTGAAAACATCCGGTCTTCCATTACTTCTTTGGAGATCTTTTCCTAGATGAGCATCTGATTAGCTTGCATTACTTTGTTAACAGTTGTTTTTGAGAGTAAGGTTATCATAGATCCACTTCTCCTCCCTCCTGAAAACTGCAATGTATTGATCTTTGAATGATCTTTTAGACAAATGTCATATTTGCTGACGAGAAGAATGAGTTGTAAAAAAAAAAATTCCATGGTCTGTTGATATGTCCTCTAAACAGGGGCGGACTGATCATTTGGAAACTTGGGCACTGCCCGAGGGTCCGGAGTCATGAGGTGCCCCTGGTACCTTTTTCATAGGCATTTTTGAGTTTGGGCAAGGACACAGGGGCCCCATGATCCCCTATTGCCTGGGGGCCCCATGAGTTGTCAGTCCGCCCCTGCCTCTAAATTGTATGCAGTCTCATCTTTATCTCCCCTATAACTCAAACCTTGCTTTCCTATAACTTTTACTGCATCTACAACCCACTGCAGTACTTGCCGCCTGTTTCTCATTTGTTCTCTCCGTACAGAATTTGCCTATACAAAACTAGATCATCAACACCAGCACTGCTGGATTTCAGAAAAAAGACTTTGGCACACACGTTGTGCATTACACTCTTCTCATGCTCTTCAATTCTTTGATGAGCATGACGCTCAGCTGTCATTCCTTCAATAAAATAATTTGTTTCATGTGAATTTGTACAACCCAAACAGAGCAAAACATAGCTTTGTTTTCATTACAATAGGTGAGCCATTTGCGACTTGTTCTATCTTTATAGCCTTTTTAAATACCGGATTTGGAATATCCGGCTGTGGATGAGATTTTAAAAAGACAGCAAGTTAATTTTTATTTGGATGAGGAAAATAATTAAATGGCATATCTATGTCTTCAGTTTGGCACTCTGAAACATCCATAATAACTTGTTTCATTGGTAATGCAGTATGCGCCAATTCTCTATGTTCTTCAGTGGAAAATTCTGATGTTTCATCAACACATTCCACTAAATCATCTTCTATTGTTATTTGTTCTATGTTTGTTGCCTCTCTACTAGGCCCTGCCATGGAATCACTGGAACTATGTGCATGAGGACTGAACATATTTGAAATGTTAGCATATATCACCTAGGGGTGCCTGGGCACAGCACTTTCACTCTCTGTGTGGGACGCCGCCAAGTCATGAATGATCCTTCAGCTGAGGAGAGGGGTGGCAGAGAGGAGAAAGAAAGGACAGAGGAGAACAGAGGAAGATGCTGGGTGTCTGGGGCCAGTATAGCAGCTGAGCTGCAGCTCCTTCCAGTGTTCCTCTCAGACTCAGTCCCTTACTGCAAGCAGGCTGGCAGCTGCTGATCACTGTGGAGTTCCAGCCCTTCTCTTCCCATTCATCAGTGAAGGTGGAGCTGCACCCGTAGAGGAATGCAATGCCTGAATGTCTCGTGTCTGTGCGAGTTTGACCCAGCTGGCCATCCATCA